ACCCCCCGCGCCGCTCTCCCCGCCTGCCGCCCCGCTTTACCGCCATCCAGGTTTGAACGCAGCGAAGGGCGTGTTCCGGCCACCATCACTTCCGATGACGGAGGCCGAGCGCCACCCCTCCCCGCCTCAGCCAATCCCGAGGCCGGCCTGGCGGAAGCGCGAGTCGTCACGCGCCGCAGCCCTCCCCAGAGGAGCCGCTGGGGCCCCTGGGGACGTCAGCGGCGCGTCAGGGCGCCGCGCGGGGTGGGCGGTTAACGGTTTTAACCGTCGATCTGGCGGTCTGTGCGGTCTGCCTGCCGTCCAGGCGGGGGTCGGTGCCGCAGGAGGGCCGGGAGGCGGGCGGCTTCCCCCGCTCCGCTCCGGGCCTGGTGGGGAGCCCGTGAAGGGCCGTTCCCGCTCGGCGGGAAGCGGGGGAAGGTGAAGGGAAAGGCAGGGCAGGGCCCCCGCGGCCTCCAGCCGGGCGGGTGTCGGATACTGCTGTGTGCTGCCGCTGAGGTGCTGCTGTGCTCTCCTCTCACGGGTTTGTTCCCGTAAAGCGTACACCACTTGCCCTGTATTTTACCTCTTTTTTTTTTTTTTCTTTCCTTCCCCTTTGCCAAATCTTAAAAGGCAAAAATGACTCATTCTTAATAGTTCTGACTGGAGCTAGTTCAGCTGTAGACTAGACGTCATAGTTGGCAGCTGCTAACTGCCAGGTAGGGCAGCCAGAGGGGAAATAAAAATGTTTTCAGAAGCGTTAAATTTTCTTAAGTAAAATGCTTATTTGACTTTTATGTTCCTATTGGGGCGGGGGGAGGTTGGTTTTTCTTTGTGATATGTATGGTCATTTTATTCATATATAGGGTAATTAGCTTTCAAGTGAAGCGTTGGTGAAAACGTTCCAGCTCGGCATCCCCTCTAAAGTGCCTACGTGCTATCCATCAAAATGTTAAGTGGAATGCAGCATGACCTTGTTTAACAATGGATCAGTGCAGTGATGTCAGTGGAGAACATCAGCATGAAGCGTTGATGCTATCTGCAAACATCACAGTTACGCAAAACACAGGATGCTATTTCAAAGTACAGTTCATTGTTACAGAGTGTCTTGGCAGGATTTAAGCTGGTAACAGAAATCTAGGTGATGGGGTTCCTTAAAAATAATCATGTTGCATCATGACATAAAACAAGATGCTTTGCTATCCAGCAATCATTTTAATTATGCTAATAGTGGCTTGGCATCTAGCTGATAAAGTAATGCACTGATGGACTTACATTATGACTTTATACAAATCATTTTACAGATCCGTGCTTCCACCTCTTCCAGTCCATCCCAGGAACACTGACATATTTTCAGTGTATTTCTTATCTCAAACTTACATAGCTGGGTTCCTTTCAAGTTATTAAATCTGAAAGTGTTTTTTAAATCTAATTTATTGTCCACCACCTGCAAAGCCAATTTGCTTTCTGGATTCCACTGGGCACACTGTATTTGTCTATGTCTCATGCACAACTGCATTGCACAGGAGAGAGCAGCTCTTTAAAAGAATTGCAGTGAAGAGCTTCCTCTTCACAAACTGGTCAGTTTTTATGCGAGTGCATTTTAGTAAAATACCACATCCTGCCTTGATATTTGGAACCCTATCATGTCTAAGGGTACTCTGTCCTAGATTTTGGACAAGTCTCATTGTCTGCCATCAAAACTAGAGGAGAACTTCAGGCTCCTCTGCCTTTCCCTTTCTCCAGCTTACCTTCTCCTGCACAAATGCCATTAGCCCCCCTCTTTAAGCTGCCAAAATTACTGTTAAATATCCACACTGTTTCTGATGCCACTTGGGATATTACTGTGTCTGTGCATTAGTTCAGATTTTGAAAACAGGGGAAGCAGAAGAGCTGGGTTCTCTCTGATAGCTCATTTCCATATTGTGTTCAATAACAAGGTGTGGCTGATTCTCTTTCCATCTTCTCTGCAGGATGGTGTAGAACAGCTGATTCACAAACAGGATGAGGAGATGGGCCATTAAAGGTTTAATCTCATCCACATTAGGCTACCCTTTCCCTTCTACAACATGAACGCTAGCTCTGGGTCTCCCACACAATATCCCAAATTTGACCTGCCAGATGAGCTGCTTGGCTAACAAGTCTGCCTCAGTTGGATAACTGGCCTCTCAACTGCCCAGCAGGTTCAACAATGGTATGAGTTTAGTTGCTACAATTTTCATGTTTAAAACTTAATTTTTCCAAATAAAGATTCCTTTGTTTGCATATTGTTGAGTGCTTGCAAGCAAGGAAGCTGGCTGTTAAAAGCATTGTTTGGGACAGATACAGTTTTCCTCGTAATTTAGGTGGGGGCTCAAGTTAGATTAGTTCCCTTTAAGAAGGCCCTTAAATACATGTTTTGCTAGGAGCAGCCATGTGGTAGAAGATCACTTGCTGTTTTTTCTTCTTTGTTGCTGTGTAAAAGACTCACATAAACAAAAATGTCTACCAGCAAAATGAAACAGTAGCATAAAAATACAGGTGCACCAGAACTGTTACCAAACATTAAGAAAAGAAGCTGAAGTGGCAGGTGGGGGGAGTAGAGGGGAGAGAGAAAAGCTGTGCAGTTTCAGTGATAAAACCTCAGTACCTATTTCTGATGTCTCAGGTAAAAAAAAAAAAAATACCTTTTCAGAAGAACATGTGTTTTGTTTTTCTTTAAATTGGTGATCTGAAGTCTTCAGAGTGAAGGTGATGATTCCTTCATACTTCCAATATTTTTATCAAGAGCAATCATAGTACACTAGTTCTTCGTCTTTGTAACAGTCAAATTATGTATCACTTCTTGATCTTGACAGCTACTCCTGTGGATAACCTCACTTAGCTTGAAGGATCATCAGCAGACCTGCAACTGTACAAAACAAGGGCTTATTCCCTACTATTAAATTAATAGATCATTCAAAAGCATAACAGAATAAATAGCTCTATGATTTTCCCTAAACAGGTCCCAATATGGTGCTCAACATGTTTTGACATCTCGCCATGCACTGAATTGGTTACCATCTGTTTGGCATTTTTTGATTATAAGAGCAGGGGTTTCCCTTTATTTCCTTGGCCAAAATTCTCCTCCCTCATGCTGTTGTATAGTGCACCAAGGTGACCATGTTCCAAAGATTGCTTGTCACTGTAACACCCTTCAGGCTTGCTCAGGGTCTAAGACACTAAGTAAATGTAAAAGTACAGGATCAGGCATGCAGGTATGCCAACTTTTTGCCAAGAACCTGGCACTCAGATTCTCATCCAAACTAACCGCCATATTTTAATGGGCAGAGAGATGCCAAATCCCCCCTAACACCATCTGGGTGTGAACTTCTGTATTTACAGCAGCATCACTCTTAAATATCTTCATCTTTGGAGCAGCAAGACACTCACGACTGCTCTCAGGATGCTAACTTCCTAAGATTTACATATAGGGAAGGTAATAAAAAAAGGCTTGTGCTATCACAATTCTAAAAGCTAAGCATAACCAAAAAAATCCTATTTTTTGTCCTACCTTGGATATCTCCTCAGCTCTGTCATTTCCAAATTTTAATGCTAATCTATTCATGCAGACTAGTAGCAGTTTGCAACCTAGGCTTCCAGAGTATGTGGACCCCAGAAATAATTATTGTTCTTCAGTGATTCTTTTGTTGAATGTTATGGCTGGCCTTTACCATAGCTAATCTATATGCATATGAAAACGAAAAAATGAATTATCCCTTATCAGCTCCATCCCTTTATTTAACTCACCAGTATTTAAAAGATCTGATAATAAACCAAGCTCTTCCTTTTTTTTTTTCCCTAGCCCTAACCCTGATCATAGCTGGGTTACCACTTTCTGTATCAAAATAAAGGGTTAAACCTGGCTGACTTGAATACTATCATAAACCCTTGCTAATAGTAGCTCTCACCATTGCTTAGATCCTAGGCACATTTTTCTCCACTTTCTCTTCCCAAACTATCACAAAACATCCAACTTAGATGTAATAGTCATGCATGCTACAGGTGACAGAAATACTTGCACACTACATCTTCAGGAATACAATTACGGAAGAGGTAAGTAAAATCCTTTTCAGAGAAAGATATGAAGGCAAAGAAATATAATCGCCAGGGAAACAATTATATTGTCTTTCCTTCTGCAGTATTTTTAATTTCCTCCTCAGAATTTTTGGAAGAAGTCCACTCTGCAATCATTCTCCTAGGATAAGCAGAAAGGAAATGAAACTTTAAAAGACCTAAATGGCTGTTAGGTGTTTCTTCCTTAGACTTCCAGTAGAAGTTAGGTACAGAGCTACATCTGATAATATTCCTCAAGGTTATTTTGATTGAAATATTAAAGGCCTTTTTTGTTTGTATTAGCAATATGCTAATAATAGTATTATATAAGTGCTAATGTTCACTGCAGAGTTTTTTATACATTGCTTTTATTTTCTTTATATTTACAGAAGTAAAATCCATTAAAATAGTGTTTTAAATGCACATGATAGCCTTCCTATTAGATACATAGCCATCATCTATCTTTTTATTTATTTATAAAAATGCAAACAGACATGTGATGCTCTTCAGACCTAATCCCAGTTCTGAGGATTCCTCCTTCCAGCACATACCGT